TAGGAAGGAAAACAAAGCAGGATGAAGGATAAGAAAAGTGATGGCAGGAGATTTTTTTGGATAGGGTAGTCAGGAAGAGCTCTGTGAAGAGGGTGATTTGAGCAGAAACGTGTAATGGGAAAGGAGGCAGACACTTGAGAACTGAGCTCCAGCTTCTCAAGACATTTAAATGAGCGGTGAGGATCACTTGAGCACAGACGTTTGAGGCTGCAGTGAGTATGATGATGCCACTGTACTCAAGCCTGGTGATAGAGTGAGACCTTGTCTCAAAAAAATAAAGAAAAAAAATTTTTAAAACAATTTGAATCCACAAGGCCATTCTAATTTAGTCTGTGTTTTAGCAGCTGTTTTTTTAACTGAAGAATCACCTATCATTTCCTTCACTGCATAAATTATTTCATTAAAGAAACAAAAATCTGCAATGTCTTTGAATAGAATACTTTTCTTCTGTCACCATTTATTTTGAGCAAATTACAATATATATATATATATTATATATATATAAAATAACCATGTTCTCAACAAGAGTTTCTCAACTCTGGCAAATTGGCATTTGAGGCCAGATAATGCTTTGTTGTGGGGACTGTCCTGTGCTTGTAGGATGTTTAACAGAATCCCTGCCTCTACCCGCTACGTGCCCCACAGTGTGCAACCAAAATGTCTCCAACAATGCCAAATATCCTTTGGGAGGCCGAAATCACCCAGTTGAGAACTGCTCTTCTAAAGTATTATAATTGTTAAAGTATCCATGCTCAGTTATTTATTTTGAACATAAGAGACAAATTCTCTATATGTGAATTGTTTTTATTATCTTATCCTTTTTTCTACTAGTCTTTTAATTTAGGGAAAACATTGTAGACAGAGATATGATCTCCCAACCCATCACTCCCAATACAGACACACAATTCTTTCCTGTCTGTGTAGTCTTCTTTCAGTATTTTCCTTAAATTTTGGGTCCTTTGGTGTGTGGGGGGGGACTATTTATTACCTTAACTGTCACTTGTTTGCCAACATTTTTATTGTTGCCTTATGAAGTGAGGGGTTGAGGAGAGGCTATGTCTAGTAACGAATATCCAGTATAATCAAGAGTATATTTTTATTTTAGTAGGTAAAGGAAATAGGAACATGACAGGTAACAAAATGGTAAAGAGGTGAGCTTAAGTTTCAGCTCTTAAAGCAGAGCAGGTCTGTGATATAAGCTTCCAAAATGGTACAGCTTGTGCCTTTGTGAAACATGGCCATGAGGGAAACAGATATTAACATATGGTGAAACTGGCATAATAAAGTATGGCAAGATGTAGGCAGACCATCTTTTTTAATTCCTGTAAAGCAGTACTTACTTAAGTAATGGTGTCATAATATTATTTGGTTTTTATTTTTTCCTAAGAGCTGAAACATCATCCTCTCTTCAGCGATGTGGACTGGGAGAATGCGCAGCATCAGACTATGCCTTTCAACCCAGCCAGATGGTGAGACCGACACATCCTTATTGAAGCAGGAATAACGCTCAGCACCTGACCGTATCGGGATTTAGTCTATAGCACATCATTTTCCTTTATTCAAACCTTGTATTACAGATAAGCTTGCATAATTATATACCTCTTAATACTAGATTGATCTGAGGGAAAATCATTATTTTGCTTGGGTCCATGTGCTTTTAAGCATGTTACAGCTTTCACCAGGTTAAAATGCAATAAGGAATATAGTCAGTAATTTATCTTAATCTCTCAGAACTGTATAAAATCTTCTAAGCTTAGTTTCATCTTTATTTATTTTGTTTACTGCACTTTTGAAAACTAAAGCATCAATAAAACTAGAATGACACTAAACACCTCAAAGAGGAGCCGTGACCTTGATTTTCTTTTCTCCCTATCTGTTGATTTCAGTACACCATTCTGTTTGGTGTTAAATAATGAAATAATCATACAGTTTCATTTAAATGTAATTATTTTCAATGATGCCTGCCAAAGCAGCCATCTCACGGGCAGTCATTTAAAGCCACTTTTGGACCTCAAAATGCAACCGAAAATTCCTTTGCTCAGTCATATAATTCTTTGGGGAATAAAGAATAAACAAAAGGCTAAGGTTTGTGCTACTTTATTTTTGCTGCCCTGACGCTTTGTGCTTGCTGTACAATGGTGTATTTGTTTAAGTAGTACTGGAGGGCTGGTCCAAGGTAGTTGAGTTATCTCACTTGATTGTTCACAGTTCACATTGACTCCTGTTCTAATACTTTCCCCCTCCACTACTGCACTTGAATATCTCAAAATAATAATAAATAAAAATAGCAGTACTGGAAGGTTAGGTATAATCTGCATTTGAATAGCTTGTTCACTTTTAATAGACAATGTGATGATGCTTTATATCTTATAGTCATTTGTTTTAAATGCAACATTATAGATATAGACTAATCCTTAAAAAACAAACAAAAATATTTATTATTGCTTAATAATGTAACGAGATTATCTGTCATCTCATTCTTTTTTTGAGACAGTCTCGCTTGTGCCCGGGCTAGGAGTGAGTGCGTGGCATCAGCCTGGCTCACAGCAACCTCAAACTCCTGGGCTCAACGATCCTCCTGCCTCAGCCTCCCGAGTAGCAGGACTACAGGCATGCGCCACCCATGCCCGGCTATTTTTTTTTTGATATATTTTTTTAGTTGGTCATTATTCTTTCTATTTTAGTAGAGACGGGTCTCGCTCAGGCTGGTTTCGCAATCCGCCTCAGCAATCCACCCGCTCTTGGCCTCCCAGAGTGCTAGGATTACAGCGTGAGCCACCGTGCCCGCCCCTCATTCTTTTAATTATATATATACCCACCCTAAATTCAGTTTCACAGTTTAATATCTTAATGCAGAGGCTTTCCGCATACTTAACCCGCAAGAGTAAAGTTCAAATTTAAACGCACCATTTGTAAGTTTTGTTCCTTTGACATTGGCTTTAGGTTTTTGCTTTCATTACCATCCCAGTAAATCCTGGTATAATGTAGTTGACAAATGTACAAGTTTAAAACTGTTGGCAGTTAGAATGCCTGTAAATGTGGTCCTATATAATTGAATCCATCGGTTAATGGTTTTACTGAGTTTGTTTTAGTAATAACTACTTAGATTTAATGCTTCTAATGGTTACCACTTCTAATAAAATTTTCAAAATACAGTTGTTAAAACTTCATTTAATATGAATTACATCTTTCCCCTAAATTAGGTGAAAACAAAGAATTATCTATCATTGTTTGATGATATTTTCAAGTAGTAGAAAGAAAAAAGGCTTTGGAATCAAATACAAATTATTCGAACCACTGCTCTGCCACATCAGAAGGCTTTGGGCAGGCCTTGACTCAGCTGTATGCCTGGATTAACAGTGATGACTTTGGAGAGTTGGAATGAGCAGAGCCAGCTTAAGGAACAAGCCTGTTCAGTGGCTTCCCAGGATATCAACCTTAAGAGGGCCTTGAAACATTATTAAATAATCAGAGAAATGAACTATAAGCCTGTTCCCAATATAGAAGACAGTACCCTTAAGTGGAAAATTATAAACACTCTTTGCAATTGTAGACCTAGCATGTACAGCTATAGTCACCTGATAACCACCAGGAAGGGACTACAGGTGTGGGCCACCATGCCCGGCTAAGTTTTGTTTCTTTGTAGTGATGGAGTCTCACTCAGGCATGAGCCACCATACCAGGTCTATTTGTTTTTAAGTAGGCAAAAGACACTTATCATTTTCCAGCTTATAAAATGTGGTACCATTAGGAACGAGGATTAATGGAGAGAGAAAGGGGAAAAAACAAGAGTTCAGAAAGCAGAAAGGAAAAACATACACAGAGAAGAGAATTTAAGTGGGCATTAGGCCAGGTGCAGTAGCTCACACCTAATCCCAGAACTTTGGAAGGCTGAGGTGGGAGGATCACTTGAGACCAGGAGTTTGAGACCAGCCTGGGCAACACAGCAAGGCCTCATCTCTACAAAATTTTTAAAAAATTAACCAGTCATGGTGGACATGCCTGTAGTCCCAGCTACTCGGGAGGCAGAGGCAGGAGGATCGCTTGAGCCCAGGAGTTTGAGGCTACAGTGGGCTGTGATCACACCACTGTACTCCAGCCTGGGCAACATAGCAAGATCTTGTTTTGAAAAAAAATTTTTAAATGAGGACATTAAAAGCCAAAAGACATAGCCTTTCCTACCACACATGGATAAAATTATATTTATAAAATTGTATCTATATAATGATTTTATTCTTTAAATAAAATAAATAATATTTTTGTGGACAAAAATATAATTATCAGACCCAATTCTAGCCAATGAGATATAAGGTGTCTCCTGTGTGAGACTTTTGTCAAGAACGTTGCTGTCTCCTTATCACATGGAAATACGACTGGGAATCGCCTTCTGCCCTGCACTCCGTGCCTGCCCATACTGCGGACATGCGATCTAGAGGGGCTGCCGCCATCTTGCAAGAATGAAGACAAGGGCTACACACTAACGATGGTAGAACAGAAACACAGAAGGAGCCTGTCTTCCTGTTGGCATTGTGGCAGCCCCAGACTTCCTGTGCTGGAGGAAAAAACCCACTTACATTTCTGCAGTTGGATTCCTGTTACAGGCAACAGAACACTGATATCTTAAATGATACAAGTAGTTACTATCACTTTTATCACTAGCTGTAGAAGTTGCAAGTTACAGATATATATTAAAAACACAAAACTCTTCTCACCAGTTCCACCTAAGACCAATAATATGTATTTAAGATGGCTAACTAGGGTTTATTGAGCAGCTGGGGAAAATTTACTTATTTGGCAGAAATGAAACTAAGATTTTTGACTAGATCACTAATATTCTCAATCAGCAGATTAAGTGAGTTAAATTTCATACTACTTCCTGATTTTTATCAAATTATGGCTTTATCTTGGAAGACTCATGATTACTTTCTATGAATTCCTACTACTTATTTAATCCTTAGTACATAATCAATGCACTAACAGCAACAAGTAATAAAAACCATATTTCTCATTAACCTTTTATTTTTAACTTAGTTTTACAATAAAGAAACAGAAAATAAGTCAATCATTAAAAAAATACCGTAGCTGTCACTTTAAATTTTAAAATGAGGTTCTTGTTAAACAAAGCAGGAACACTACACCCTATAATTACATCTTTACTTTTATGTACAAGAACTGTGTGCAAAGTGCTTTTCAAACTGTAAAATAAGACTTTGGAACAGGATACAAACCGTTATCCCTAGGATTTAGTTACCTCTGGCTGCTTGTAATGATCATATTCTTAATTTGCATTTGATTTATTTATATTCTAAGAGAAAAGCCATCTTTTCTGACAGCAGATTAATATCTAATTTTTGAAAATATCTCTGATCTACAGGTCTAAACTTTATTTTTACATATAAGTCAGTTACTTCCTTCATTTTTTTTCTAAATAGAAGACAATTACTTAAAAACAAATAGTAGATCCCTTTAGACAGACAAATTTTAATCAAGATGGGATTAAAAAGTAAAAACCAGCAAGTTACATGAAAGGAAAAAAGAGTCTGGGAAAAGCAAATTATAGTCTTATACTTTTTTTCAGGCAAACAAAGAACCATCCTGTAATATTAGAGATGGATTAATTCTTTTCCTCTTATTTAAAACACTCTGAATACATGATGCTAAACCCAACATCACACATATCAAGGCTGCTTAAAAATTATTTGTTATGGTAAAAAATAAAAAAAAAATAAAAAATAAAAAAAAAAAAAGAAAAATTATTTGTTATAAGCATATGAATCAAAGAAATCTTCAAAGTACAAGGTACATCTAAGTGAGCAGGGAGTTTTAGAAGATATACAAGAAGAATGATTTTCCAAACAAAGTCTTCAAGGATCTAAATTATAGCCTTCTTTCTGGTTTAAATGTGAGAGGTGGGGTAGAGGGACTTAGATTTCCATTAGTTAGGCATGTCTTGTTCATACGGAAGGATATGGCTTATGAGCTTGCAAATCCTTCCAATACCCCTGTAAAGTAGGTATATCTAAAGTATTATAACCTGAAGGAAAAACTGAGGCACTAAGAGGTTAAGAGTCCAGTCTATATAGTTCACCAGTTGCAGAAAAATGATTTTCATCTGTTTCTTTTTTGACCTTTGTAAAAACAGTATAAATAGGTTTTCATTTTATATTTCAAAGCACCCTATGAAGCAGACACTAGATATGCTCAGTTAAAGAAAAATGATTACAAAGGAATAAATGTAAATGACTGAATAAAAATCATATTAGTCATCTGCAGGCTCAGAATATACTTTTAACCTATATAATGCTCAGTCTTAGACATTTCCATCAGCAGGTTATATGACTTCCGTGAATCATTTGTAAAAACTAAGCCTACTACAGAGGGCTCTACTTGTTAATAATGATGCCTGAACACCAAACGCAGGGCTGCGAATGCCCAAAAAAGATCATGGGAAGCCCACAAGGTGAAGGGGAAGAAGATTCTTCCAGCAGTTTTCTACTACTTGGCATAGCAATTCAGTGACTAAGATATAAAGTTGATTTAATGTCATTTGAAATTCACTCCTGATTTCTTGTATTTAATTTATAAAATTAAAAATACCCACTTATAAATCTGATCTCATTATCACAACTGTACCTTGGAAAAGCAGCTTATATTTCTCTATGGGAGATAATCAGGTAAACATGTTACCAAACGATAATTAATAATTTAATGTCCTTCAAGTTCAAGGGTAGGGTGAATCTATGTATGCGACTTATAACCTAGTTGAAATTGATTATTCAAGTATCAGTGATATTAGTCCTTAAAATGTTATCATTTGTGTAGTGCAAAATATGTATGTATATATGTACACAAACCAAACTACTGGACAATAAAAAGCAATGTAATCATCACAAACTAAGACTTTCTTGTGAACGCCACAATCCATTTCATTCTGAGGTCATCCAGGCCCAGCAGTCTTCTTGAGTAAAACACCATTTTCTTCAGTTCAGTTTTCTTAAAAAAAAAAAAAAAAGCAAAAACCAATTTCTTGTGAGTATAAATGTAACCTGAATAGGCAACACGTCCATACCAAAGAATTCTCTGTATGATAATACAGTGTTATTATTTAACATTCAAATTCAAAATAAAACCACAAAATTACAAATGGTCCTTATGAAACTATTTATAATGACTTATAGCCTGATAGGATAGGAAAGATCCAATTGTAAGTGCTGAAATTACCAGTTTTAAAAAATAATTTAAATTTACATTTCTCCTCCCTTAACATCTAGATTCTCATCTTTTTCAAATTGGCTATTTTACAATTAAGATTGGGGAATTATTTCATAATTGTATCAAAATGGAAAAATTGTGAAATAAAAAAGCTTAAACTATAAGAGGTTGACGGATGTACAAATGGACTATTCATTTACTCAACACATAATTATTTTTCTATTAATTTTCAGGCACTGGGGATTGAAAGATGAATGAGGCATTCCTTAAGAGAGCTCTCAGTTTAGTTGGTGGGGGAGGTGGAGCCATGTGAACCCTAAACTCAAGATACATACATATACACACACACACACACACACACACACACACACATACAAATAAATAAATATATAAAATGTGGTGATTTTAGTGACAGCACAGTGAAGGAACTATCAGAAAAGAGTGGGCTTGTTAGCAGCAGACACAACAATCACCTAAGATCTGAGTTCTGCAAGAGGTTCCACTGCTATAAAATCTCCATACCCTTCCCAGCACTCAAGATCCCAAAACACCTGAAACCCTCCGTTACAGATTCATTCCTCTCTGTAGAAATGCTCTTATGCAACCCTCTTGGCAGGAGTGATAGTTTAAATAATCAGCTCATTCCTTATCCTCTGTAGAAATCCTCTTACGTACACCTCCTCCTTTGCAGGAGTGACATTTTAAATAATCAGATGAATTTTCACATAACAGAAGGAAATCCCCAGTAGCATGAAGAAAACAGACTCCCGGAGGCAGACAACTGAAAGGCGTGAGAAAGACAAGACATATGTGGGTGGCTGACAAACTTCTTGAGTCAAGTTTTAGCAGAAATGTCAGCTGTGGGTGCCTGAATAGTTGGCAACACCAGTCAAGAACCTGTGTGATGCAGATTAGTAAGCACAGCCCTTTGTAGACTTACAAAAGGCAGATAACTTGGTCTCTGGACCCCCAGTCTTCTAATGTAATAGAATAAACATAAATCACTACCTTCAGAACTTTTTTCAAGCTCTTAATGAGATCTTTCTCTGTTTTGTATTTTTTTAAGTTAATCAATTTGCTGGAAAATGAGGCCGACAGAATCCCATCTTAAAGTACCAACGTCCTCAGTTTTGTATTTTTTAAAAATTAACTTGCAATATGGAGGTATAGTGTGATTAGAGAAGGAAAATCACAGAAAACAACAGGTAAGGGAAGAGGCATAGATCCTGCCTTTGGAACACTCTGCTGAGATTCTTTCCCTTCCGCAGAACCCTGGGCCTGACTTCCCATGTCAGCACCTTCTGCCCCAGGCTCCATTTGAAGAATGTTCCTCTTGAGATCCTCCTCACTCCCAAACAGTTGTATTTGCTACCTCTCTACTGAAGGCTCAGTGTGCCCAAGGAAATGACATAACATTTTAATATGGGCAGGCTGGTAAAGAACAGTGGTTAGAAACATCCTTTCCGACAGGTGTGGTGGCTCACACCTGTAATCCCAGCACTCTGGGAGGCTGAGGTGGGAGGACTGCTTGAGCTCAGGAGTTTGAGACCAGCCTGAGCAAGAGCGAGACCCCAATCTCTACTATAAATAGAAAGAAATTAGCCAAACAACTAAAAATAGAAAAACTATCCGGGCTCGGTGGCATGTGCCTGTAGTCCCAGCTACTTGGGAGGCTGAGGCAGGAGGATCGCTTGAGCCCAGGAATTTGAGGGTGCTGTGAGCTAGGCTGACGCCACGGCACTCTAGCCCGGGTAACAGAGTGAGACTCTGTCTCAAAAAAAGTAAATAAATAAAAATAAAATTAAATAAATAAATAAAATAAAGAAACATCCTTTCCTTCAAAGTAATAGTCTTAAGAGTAGTCTTGTAGATTTAAGAGGTCTGCTGCCAATATTTAACTCATGGATAATTTTAATAGAAGCGTCGTCAGGATGGATAACGGGGACAACCAGGACATAGAAGGCTGGTCAGGGTCTAGGTTTATTTTATTTTATTTATTTTTGCATTTTTTTTAACTTTGGCATATTATGGGGGTACAGATTTTAAGGTTTCAATAAATGTCCATTTCCCCAGGGTCTAGTTTTGAACTAGAACTCTGCAGAGTATTGCTCTTCACATCATATAGAGAATGTTTTTCTGATCTACTGCAGAGTGAGAGGGTAAGAAATCTCTTTTACTTTTAATTTATATTCTATACTAGGAAAAAATATCAAGCAGCAGACCTTAAATATTACTTTTAAAATTAAAAGGCAAAAATACATATATATTTATAAGCTTATCACAAATAGCTAATTTACATATATAGGACTATCCCAGTGTCTGTGTCCACAAGCATATTTATTAAATAAAAGGAAAGCTTTTCCATTCATATGGTACTTCGGTTTGCCACCTGCCCATAGAGGGCACTCAGTCATGCATTCGACACACGTTTATAGAACACCTGCTCCGCGCCAGCCACTGCACTAGGGGAGGAGCTACAGCATGATCCCTATTATGGGTTAAGACACACCCTCTACTGCCCACACTTATCTCACCCTAAGCAGATTTCTAGACCTTTCTCTTAATCTCTAACACGAACCTATCTCTTCTAAACCAAACACACTGCTCTCTACCTTTCATTCCATTAACTGTCAGATTAAAATTACTAAACCACAGCCTAAAAACTTGTTTCCATATGAAGTAAGGCCTACTTCCAATCCCAGTTAATCTGTTACATATGTAAACAAACAACACAAAAAAATCACTATACCTCATCCAAATGAAGCTAGTTCCACAGTGCTAAATTATTTGCAATTTGGAAGGATCAAACATTTAACATACAGTAAAAAAATACTTGATAAGGATTCAACAATAACAAAGTAAAAAATTAATAGGAAAGAGTGTCTCCATTCAGAGACATCTGTGGACAACTGAAAGAGATACTTAGGAGAAATGGTGAACAACTTTTTATGCCGATATCAATCTGTCATAATC